ACGTCCCACGCATCGTATCAACCTATAGTAAGGGGATAAAACCCATAAGTTTGAAAATCAATAGATATCATAGGTGCATTCTTTATCAAATTATATATTTTCAATTTGTAGCTTTTAAAAGAACCGTCGCGTAGAAGGATTTCCGGCGGAATCTAATAATTGTTGAGTCATGACTTAACATGACACCTCGAGCCGGAGAATGATCATTCAACTATACAGGTGTCGAAACACCGTATCCGGAGGTACCATTCTTTCATTTAACTGTTATACTATTGTGGTATTGAAGCACTGTACCCGGAGGTACAATTGCATTTGGAAGAAAATATAGGTATAATGAAAACTATAATTTGAAAACGAAATATAACACATTTTTGCACATTCACCTACTTTTGTTGATTCTTTAAAATTTATGTTTCTGAAAAAAAAGTTTGATGAAGCTGGACGTTGAACTTTTGTCTTCGTAACGGCACTTGAATTTCAAAAAAAATCTGCTTCCTTCACTCCTTCTCTCCTCACTCTCTCTTGTATAAAGTGTTTAGAAAATTGTTGTGACTGATTTTGAAGTGAAACCATGCACCTATTTATAGGTAGTCTTGGAGTAACCTAAAGAAAGTTAAGGGTTTTCATTTAATTAATATGGGGTAGTAATTTAAATAGGTTATGGGAGTTTTAGGCATTAATTATTTTAAGAAAATGGGCCTGGGTTGCACTTTAAACTTTCATAAGATCTATTCATTTTAAAACATGTTGGACTGGCATTGGGCTTCCATTTCTTATGGGCCAAGCATAGTGTTTCTCATGGGTTATGGCTTGTGGTGCTAGGCCACCATAAAATTATGAGCCTACTTGCATTTCATCATTTTTTTCGGGCTTCTACAGAGTTGGTCCAAACGGTTTGTGTCAGTTGAAGACACAACTTTTCAGCTGTTGTGTCTTGGACGTAATCTTTCAACTTCTATAAATAGGCCCTCATATCCTCAGTTTCATTCACTTTAAAATCAATTCTAATTTAATTCCTCTTTCGAAATTATTCATTCGTCCCTGCATTATTTATATTTTTCAATCCAGCATCGAAAAATAATTTTGGTGCATTTTAGTCTTCCATCTTTTAGAGAAATCAAAACGTGAGTAGGCTCGCCAGGTCTTGTAATTTGTAGTGCTACTATTACAAGTCAAGGTCGTTGTATCTTGGAAGACGAGTGCCGAAATACCGTCAGCATCAGTGCACGGCATTATTGTCATAAGGAGAAAGAGTCGAACTCTTGCCTCGACCATTAACATTTTATAGCATTCACTTTTTTCATGGTGTTATTCTGCCTAAGTTAATTCACGGTGATACTATTACTTGCCTACTTCCAACAACTTTATACGAGGATCCCTCTTCTATGATATCAATTGTCATGCATGTTGAAATTTTTCTTTTCATTTCTTCTGGAAAATATTACAATTTTCTAGCCATCAATCTTCATAAATTAATTAGAGATCAAAAACGTGAACAAACGATTTTATTTGTTTATGAAATTTTTGGTGGCAGCCTGTAGAGTAAGTGGAGTACTTTACACTCTTATAGCCATTACGGGATGTGCTTGCTTATATTCTTGCTTCTATCGTTCAAAGTTGAGAAGGCAATACAAGCTGCCGGAGAGTCCAAGTGCAGATTGTTGCGTTCATTTCTGTTGTGAATGTTGTGCCTTGTGCCAAGAGCATCGTGAGCTTAAAAATCGCGGATTCGATATGCCTATTGGTATTAATGAACTTTCCTTTTCTCTCTACAATTTCTGTACAAACATTATAAAATTGCATAATTATGCCAATAATTTGACTTCTTCACTTAGAAAATATCTATTTTTTAAAAATTATTTAAAAATAGAAAAATCTAGTTTTATAGATAGATAAAAGAAAAGGAAAAATAACTTCTAGAAGGTCTTCTTCAAGGGTTGAAAAAGGATAAAATGACTTTTTTATGTTTCATTAAAAATGTGATTTGCTTACTTGACTAGGTCGAATTAACAGTGAACGTTATGTACACTCCCTCTTCAAAACTGTCTCTAAAATATGTACCTATGGATGAAACCTATCGTTATTATTTACATGACTGAGACATTTGTGGCTGCTGTGAAAATTTGTAGGATGGCATGGAAATATGGAGAGACAGAATCCTGGAATTACAGTGCCACCAAACTTACGAGGAGGAATGAATAGATAAGCTGTTAGCTTTTGCTATCCAACATATATTTGATGTGATTGAGACATTTTTTTTTTCTTGCTTGTGGCCTGGGTGTGAATTATGTAACGCTTACTTACTGTTGATTCATTTCTAAGTAATGTATGCAAATTCTATGATCCAAGAAGCATTAATACTTCAATAAATTTATAAATATTTCAGTTTGTATCAAAATTTTGCACCAATTAATGGATTATATTATTTCCTTCGGTGTTTAAAATTAAAACTAGAACCACGTTCACAAATCTCTCTATTTATTCAATTTAACAGAGTAGTAGAGATGTTTTAAAAATGATAATTTATTTTAAATTTCCTTTGTCGAAGTTTGTTTTTATATATATAGTATATTGTGAGCAAATTACAATAACTAAGGGAACAATGAATTGGTGTTTCCTATCCTTTGTTATGAGAGCAAGGGTGTAGCACATAACATAATAAGGCTTTCTATAACTACTAGAAGGCCATTCATAATGGTTACCTACCAGGGTGTCATAAAATATTTCTATAAAGGCCATTATAGAATTTTTTTTTTTATGACCATCATGCTACATTATATTTTAAGAATATTCTCAATTTACTTTGACAATGTTAATGTTTATAGCTTTAATAGATCAATCATGCTACGAGTATAGAAAATTTTGACCGACAACACATGGCGTCAAATTATTAGAAGATGGAAAAAAATAGGCAAATCAAATTCCACCACATCAGCATCTGTATGGATTTGCTAAGGAATTCCCTTTACGTAAGGCTATTTCCTTCATCGAATAAATTGTTTACGTAACTACCCTTTTATAAGCCATTATAGAACAGCCTTCCCATGGTCGAGTAAGAGCCATACAAATCAAACAGTTTTTAATAAATGCTTCTTCCTGATATACATTTTTCTTTTTTTGGTAACATTCTATATGTTAACAAAGGTAGGTCCCTATTTCCACAAGGTTGTAGTATTGACTACTCTACCAATTTGGGGGAGAGATTGTCCTGATTGCAAAATAATGGTTTTTTTAAGTAGTGATACTAGTGCATTGGACATGAATCGTGTCGTGATTTAAATATATGAAATTAAATTACATTTGATCAGGTGGGGTACCTAATTAATCCTTTATATGATATTTTTGTTATTTGTGAGTGTTAGGTCAAATTTGTAATTGGCAATTTTTGTATTCAAAATTATGGGTTATTTTTGAGTGGTAATTAAAGTTAAAATAGGAGTTATTCAGTTGTAATTTAGTCAAAATAGTTTGGGGTTGATAGAGTTCTAAAAGGATTCCAAGACATTCAAGAAGATCAAAAAACAGGAAGAAGATTGGTCACTGGCTGTGCATGGTACTCTTGAGCATCCACAGCATGACCGTTGTCGCTCGCCTAACAGTCGAGCCGAGGACCGGCCGGTCACTAGGCGCGAAGCATAGCGCTTGAGTGGCTGTTCAACAATCATATCTTCGAAATTCACGTGAAATAACTATTTTTCAATCCCATTTAAGATCAAACATTACATGTTATAAATACCCAAGCCTAGAACATGCCAAATGTGTGTTGAATCTTTATTTTGCCTTAGAGATCTTATTATTAAACCACAGTATATATTCTTCATATGTATCATCCCATATATATATATATATATATGTAGAGCCTTATTTATAAGTTAAGAGATTATTCTTTGAGATCCAAATATCTCTTGCATCAGTCTACAGATCAAAACGCAAAAAATCATTTGATCAAACACCAAACAAAACCCTACATTCACTACAAGAATTTTATATTTTCCCTCCAAAATTTATTTATAGGGAAATGTTCTTATTTGTAGGAAAAAACCTCTGCAAGCGAAAAAATTTTGTAGGCACTTTTGTGGGGCAAATATCGATGGAATAGGTAAAAGCCGACAAAATTTTTTAATTTGTGGGCTAAAGTTTTTCCCTACGAACTCTTTGGAGATGAATACAATAAATAAATCTTATAAGTTTCCCCCCAACAAAATCATTCGCCTACTAAAACTAATTTTGCCCACGAATCAGTTTCGCTTTTCCCTACAAATTATATTGTGGACTAAATCTTGTTTTTTCCTACAAATAAATTTGTATGAAAAGAATAATTGTGGGCTAAGATATACACATTTTTCCCAACAATTAAAAATTTGTGACAACGTAGTACAAATTATTTTGTGGGTTAAACCCTGTTTTTCTCAACAAACATTTTTTTTGTGGGAAGAGCATATTTGTATGCTATTATGAAAGAATTTGTAGGAAAAAATTAAATTATTTTCATATATTTTATTTTTTAGTTATATTGTAGTAATTTTTAACATTATTCAAAATAATATAAAAACACAAAAAGACTAGAAATCAATTAAAACATGTAGTGTTAATCAATGTAACATTAAAGCCATAATATTTCACCAAAACACCAATAAAAATCATTCACTAAGTATGGTTATATATAAACTTAAAAAAAGTAAAGAAAATATGCTATGTATCTATTATTATGTACCTGAAAAAATAACTATTCATTTTCATGAATTAGATATGCAGTTGATCATCACCGAAGTTGTTGTCTTCATCTTTAGTAGTATTTTCCTCATTAGCATTATTCTCTATTGACAATGGTGCAAATGGTGGTATAACGAATCCAGAAATTTTACCACATAGCTAGTGCATAGGATGATGCCAAAGACTACAATATAGAATAAAATTATTGCTTAACATTTTTCAGCCAAAGACTATAATATAGATTTTGTATGTTATACAATGCGACTTTCGCGTTTTTCGAAAAAAAAAATGGACATTTCAAAGCATAGGTGTGTGTTTGAAAACTCATTTCTTCGATACGAAAGTAAACTAATGGATATTTTCAACTATATATGGTTCTTCAAAATATGAAAACTTCGAAAAAATAGTTATTTTTAAGGTTATATAATATAATTTTCACATTCTTCTGAAGAAACTTTTATAATTCAAAAGACTGGTGTTGGTTCGAAAAAATCGTTTCTTCCATATGAAGCTGATAGAGATTTTAAAGGTGGTTTGTCAGAAAAACCACCTTAAAAAAATCGATAATTTTTAAGGTTATATAACACAACTTTCGTTCTATTTAAAAAAAACCTTTATAACTCAAAGGAGTGTTGGGTCAACAACCATTTCTTCCATATGAAAGTGAATCGATAGAACTTTTCTACAATGTGTAGTTCGTCAAAATATAACAATTTTGCAAAATCGATAATTTATGAAGGTTATATAACACGATTTTTCACGTTGTATCGAAAATCTTTATAACTCAAAATACAGGTATGATTCAGAAAACCTTTTCTTCCATATAAAAGTAAATAGATAGAGCTTTTCAACAGTATATAATTCGTCAAAATGTGTTAACTTCGAAAACTTGGTGATTTTTGAAAATTATATAAAACAATTTTAGCGTTGTTCCGAAAAAATCTTCGCAACTCAAAGTATGAGCGTAGGTTCCGAAAACCCTTTCTCTTCCATATAAAATTGAATTGATATGGGTTTGCAATGGTGTATATATAGTCCTTTAAATTTTGACAACTTCGAAAAATTGGTGATTTTTTAAGTTTATATAACACGACTTTCGCACAGTTTTGAAAAAACCTTCATGACTCAAAGCATAAACATGAGTTCAGAAAATCGTTTCTTCCATATGAAAATAAACTGATAGAAAGTGTATAGTTCATCAAAATATGACAAATTTGAAAAATTGATGATTTTGAAGGTTATATGTGAAACAACTTTCATGCTGTTCCGAAAAACCTTTAAAATTCAAAGCACAGGCGCAAGTTCGAAAAATTCTTTCTTCCATATGAAAGTAAACTAATAGAACTTTTAGAGGTGTATGGTTCATTATAATATGACAACTTTGAAAATTTTGTGATTTTGAAGATTATATAAACGAGTTTCGATCTATTCCGAAAAATCTTTATAACTCAAGGCACAGGTGTGTGTTTGAAAAATTATTTCTTTTGTATAACATTAAATATATAAAGCTTTTCAATGGTGTATGGTTTGTCAAAATCTGATAATTTCGAAAAAAAAAGGATGATTATTCAAGATTTGCACGATTTTCCATTGTTCCATATAAATCTCTATAACTCAAAGCACGGGTGTGTGGGTTTGGAAAATCATATCTTCCATATAAAATCAAAATGAAATAGCTTTTCAATAGTGTTTGGTTCATCAAAATTTGACAAATTCTGTTACTCATATAAATAATCTTAAAATGAACATACCATGTGGCAAACGCTGCTCATCCAATTCTATGTGTGCCGAAGTAAACCCGGCCCAAAAGCTGCTCATCCGATCTCCTGTTGGCAGAGGTCTCTAGCATAAACTCATCTCTGGCAAGGTGGTAAGTCAACCCAACAGCAGACCTAATGAAGTGATTGACAAGACAGCACATTGCCAGTGTCGCCTCTGCACACCTACGCTATCAAATCCTAAGTCAGAAGTGAAGATAGGGGGATCTTAGTATTAATGGCTTGATTGATTGATTGACACTAATAAGAACTATTAGATCTTCTACCATCGGACGGATCTCATTCACTCGACATTAGATATAAAAACCTACACTCCATACGTTAAGGAGGAAGGAAAAAAAGGGAAGTTTACACATTTAAAGTAAACATTGACTCTCTCTACTACACTCGAAGGCTGACCCCCTTTTTATGCACCAAACAACCAAAAACAGCAACTTACTAAATATTTTGAATCATTCCCTTCGTTGATTCTACTGAGAAACGGGTGATTTGAGTCATAACCGTATTGGGATCAAAGTTTACGTGAACATTTGTTTCTACTTATCTGTTGGCCACATCATAAGACCATTTTTTGGGGTCAACAGATTGGCGCCGTTTGTGGGAAATCTTTGGTGCCATAACCACATACATCCTAGTGGTAAAGGCTATTTTCCAAAAAACCTTGAAGAAAGAATCGCTGTTAGAAAATAATCCAAGAAATACAATGAGTTCAAGT